GATATGTGTGTGTGTGTGTTGCGAATGTGAGTGCGAGTTGGATGGATTCGCGCAAACCATAAAACGGCGCAGTTTTATAAGCAACAACAGTGCAATTTTATATGTACGATATTGAAAAAATGACGCAGACAAACTGCATTGTTTTTTTTTGTCTTAAAACATGCGCCAAATTCATTAGCGCAGATAATCTGCATCGATTACCCTCTGGGTAGGGAGCTCCACCGAAGACTTAAGTAGGAGGGCCCGCATGCGGTCACTCCACCATTTCGGCACACCCCTCACGAGGAGTTTGGCCCGCTGCGCAAGCTGCGCCAGTTGCGCCAGTTGGTTGTCCCAGTTTAGCGCCAGTTGCACCAGATGTGCCGCTTGCGCCAGTGGGTGTGCCGAAATCCACGGGGGGACGCTCTGCGGACCCTGCCACTGCTGAGACCTGTTGTGCCAGTTGTGCTAGTCGAGCCCCTATTGAGCCACGAAACGAGTGAGCGCTGTGCCGGAAACGTCGGAGTGGCGCTCTGCGCACCCTGCCGATGCTGGGACCTGTTGTGCCGGCTGTTTGAGGCTCGACCCTACCACTGCTTCGGCCTGTGATGCCAGTTGTCGTCGGCCGACGACTCCGACGACTCCGACGACGACGACGACGACAACGACGACGACGACGACAGCCACGACTCCGACGACGACGACGACGACGACGACAACTCCGATGACGATGACAACGACGACGACTCCGACGACTCCGACGACTCCGACGATGACCCCGACAACGACGACGACCCCATCGCTGCGATAAGATATGACCACCGCTGCGGACACAGTCCGGGCCTAGCTGAGACTAGGTGGGCGAGGCAGTGGCCACAGAAATCTAACGTGTCTGGAGCCGCAAAGGCTGAGATAGGACACGGGAAGGGGGAGCCGCAGCAGATGCAGCGGCACGGGTAAGAATAAGAATATGAAGAAGAAGAAGAAGCTGATGATGAGGACGAAGAATAATAATAATAAGACAAAAAGAAGAAGTCGAGGAAGAAAAAAGAGGAGGGGAGCGCGAGCATGCACAGAAGGGGCGAACGCCTCGGGAGAGAGGACCCTCGGGAGAGAGGGCCCGCAGAGAGGGAGAGCGCAAACTTACTGTCAGTTGACCGCGCGGTTCGCGTTCCGTGCTCCTGCTCTGCGTTTCCCGGCCGCGCCGTCCACGAGCGCAATATAAAAATATCAGATCTCAGTTGCGTTCGCGTTTCGTGTTTCGTGTTTTTTCGTTGGCTTTCATGGCTATGCCTTCCAAGAACGCGAACTGAAAGTCTGAATTGCGCTCGTGTTCCGTGCACCGTGCTCCTGCTCTGGCTTTCCCGGCGGCGCCGTCCAGCAACGCAGAATCGAAGTCTCACGGTCACCTCTGCAAGCTCCACGGGTGGCCCTCTCGCTCGCGCACTCGATCGCTGGCGGGCGAGCGAGCCGGCGGGCGTGTCGACGACGACGAGTGCGAGCGGCGGCGTTCACAGCCGAGCGCTGCCGTCGAAGACCTTGGGCGGCCGTCGTTTCGTCGCCGTCGTCGCCGCTGCCGCCGCCGTCGTCTTCGCCCAGGCGCCGCCGCCGTCTCCGCGCCGCGTCGCCTCCGCCTCCGACTGCGACGTGCACTTCTCGGGGCGCGGAGACGGAAAGCTAGCGTGGCCTCCGATCGACAAGATTGGAGGCCACGACGAGAAGGGGGAGGAGGAACAGGAGGAGGAGGAGGAGGGGGGGGAGGAGGAGGCCCCAAGGAACGAGCGCAGCGCTTCCTACACGCGACCTGCTAGTGCTCCTGCCTCGGGCGGCGGTTCCAAGACGAGCCTGTCCTCCGTCAGGAGCTCCGGGTCGAATGCCCCGCAGCAGCCGCCGAGCGCCATCGCGTGGCACCCCACCCCCGCATTGACCAACACCGTCTTCAGGCCCCCAGGAGCGGAACCGACCTCCCGCCGACATTGGTCCCACAGGCCCCCAGGGAATTGAAACGTGGCTTCGGGCACGGTGCCCCCGTGGCCTTGGGAGTTAGAATTACCACTCGACTGCTATCGGCCACGGGGGGCTGGCTCATATTCGGAGAGGGGCTGTCAGACACCAACCAGCCACCAGTGGAGGGGGGCAGGGCGTCAGCGCCCGCCGCCCCGAGAAGCACACCCCGACTCTCGTCGAGCTGTGGCTGCGCCAGGGGGGGGGGGGGGGCAGGGCAAGGGCCGCCAGAAAGACCACCATGTGGGCCTTGGCCCTCGCAGGTGGGGAACTGACGTTTGCCTGCCTGTAAAGCGGCCGTTGCATCCTGAACGTTGGCAGGGGCAAAGCAGCTTTCATCAGCCCATGGGTCTGGCCCATCTGGCCAGCCATCCACCTCGCAGTCGAAATCTGGGTCGATACTAGGGGACGGGGCCCGCGTGGCTCCTCCCTCGTTCTGGTGAAGCTTGCTTGGCTGCACACAGCCCCCGAACATTTCGCGAAACCTAGCAGCTCGATTTTCGGCGGCAGCCCTCTTTTCAGCCTCCAGACGAGCCCAACTGGTGGATGGGCCACCCATCCTTCTTTGCAGGCGACCGTCTGGGAGGCCTCTGGGGGGCCTCTTGGGCCGTCTTGGGCCGTCTTGGACTCTCTTGGGCCGTCTTGGAGGCCGTCTTGGACCATCTTGGGCGGACTTGGAGGCCATCTTGGGCCATCTTCGCGATTTGTTGAGGATGTCCCGAGCGAAGCGGCCGCTTCAGGGAGGAGTGTTCGTGGAGTTTGCGCTCCTGGGCAATCCTCCCGGTACCCCAGCGGGACGCGCCGAAACCCATTGGGAGAGTTCTTTTGGAAAAAGAACCAAAACCAAAACCGAGAGGGTCCAGCACGCCGGGCACCCTTGCGATGAATCGACAGGGGGCGGCGGATCGAAGACGCCTACGGCGAACCACCGCCGCCCCCCGCCTTTTTGGAAACGCCTATGTGGCCGAACGTTGAGGCCAGACCTGCCAAGCCATCGGACCATGTTCCCCGAATCGGTTTGGAAAGCCTTGGGGGAACACGTGGGCATCTTGAAGGTCATCTTGGCCGTCTTGGAGGCCTCTTGGGCGATCTTTCGGCGATCTGTGGGGGCTCTTGGGCCGTCTCGGGCCGTCGGAAGGCCGAAAAGAAGGAAATGTCAAAATCCGTCAAAAACCTCAGGAACATCAATGTTTTTGGCCTCTTGTGGCCTTCCTGGAGGCCCTCTTGGGGGCCTCTTGGGCCGTCTTGGGCCAGCTTCGCGGCAACTTCGGCCATCTTGGTGGGTTCCTGGCACGTCTGACGCCGTCGGGAGCCGTCTTGGGGGCCTTTCTTGGCCAACGGGGGACCCTCTCGGGGCGCTTCGGGGCCGTCTTGGAGGCCATCTTGGGCGTGTTGGAGGCCTCTTGGGCCGTCTTGGGGCCCTCTTGGAGCCATCCTGGAGGCCACTTGGGCCGTCATGGGGCCCTCTTGGGGGCCTCTTGGGCGATCTTGGGGCCCTCTTGGGCCGTCCTGAGCCGTCGGAATGCCGAGAAGAAGCAAATTCCAAAATCCTTCAAAAACCTAAGGAAAATCAATGATTTTGGCCTCTTCGGGCCCTCCTGGAGGACCTCTTGGAGGCCTCTTGGGCCGTTTGGGACGGCTCTGGGGCGCCTCTTGGGTCGCCTTGGGCCGTCTTGGACACTCATGGGCCGTCTTGGAGGCCGTCTTGGACCATCTTGGGCGGACTTGGAGGCTATCTTGGGCCATCTTCGCGATTTCTTGAGGATGTCCCGAGCGAAACGGCCGTCTCAGGGAGGATTTTTCGTGGAGTTTGCGCTCCTGGGCAATCCTTCTGGGACCCCAGCGGGACGGGCCGAAACCCATTGGGAGAGTTCTTTTGGAAAAAACCCAAAACCAAAATCGAGAGGGTCCAGCACGCCAGGCACCCTTGCGATGAATCGACAGGGGGCGGCGGATCGAAGACGCCTGCGGCGAATCACCGCCGCCCCCTGCCTTTTTGGAAACGCCTATGTGGCTGAACGTTGTGGCCAGAGGCCTGCCAAGGTATCGGACCATGTGTTCCCCGAATCGGTTTGGAAAGTGTTCGGGGAACACGGTGGGGGAGGAGGAAGGAGAGGAGATGGAGGAAGAAGGAGAAGGGAGGAGGAGGCCTCTTTGGAGCCTCTAGGGCTACTCTAGGGTTTTATTGGGCCATCTTTGCGGCCTTGGAGGCATCTTGGGACTGTCTTGGAAGCCATTTTGGGGCTGTATTGGGGCTTCTTGGGGCCATCTTGGGAGGCCTCCTTGGCCTTCTTGTGCGATGGCGCTGAAATTTATCATTTGCACAAACTTGGTGGGACAACGGACTGCATTGCTTACTCAGTGACCAGAAAATAGCATGAGGAAATAATCGGAGCCAGTCGATGGAGGCAGTGTTGGGTGCATCTTGGGCGTTGTTGGAGGCGGAGCTTGACCAAGCCATCGGACCATGTATTCCCCGAGTCTCGCCTCGACACCTTCGGGGAACACTTGGGGGGAAAAGAGACGGAGAAGGAGAGGGGGGAAACAGCAGGATGGAACAGGAAATTGTTGAAAGTTTCTTGGGGCACTTTTGGGCTTTGGGTGCTTTGTTGGAACTTCCTTTGGACCTTTTGAATGCTTCTCGGGAGGCCTCCTTGGCCTTCTTGGGGACCTCTGGGGACTCTTTGGGGGAGTCTTTGGTCGTCGCAGAGCGTTCCTGGCCCATCTGACGCCGTCCGAGACCGTCTTTGAGGCCTCTCGGAGCCGACTTCAGGCCCTCATGGGCCGTGTCAGGGCGGTCTTCGAGGCAGTCTAGGCGTCTTGGAGGCCTCTTGGGTCGTCTTGAGGCCTTCTTTGGACGAGCTGGAGGCATCTTGGACTCTCTCGGGCCGTCTTGGAGGCCATCTTGGACCATCTTGGGCGGACTTGGAGGCCATCTTGGAGGCCATCTTGAGCCGTCTTGGGGGATTTTTCTGGGATTGAGCTCCTGGAGCTCCCTTTCGGGTAGCCGGCGGGACGGGCCGAAGCGCCAGGGGGAGTTCTTCTGGAAAAAGAACCAATACCAAAAGCGGAAGGTCCGAAGATTTTGGCTCAAGGTTCCGAGGGGCCGTCGCCGGCCTCCTAGGGCTCCACTCGGGCGTCTCTCGTTCCTCTCATTTTTTGAGCTGTGCACATCTGCAGACGGCATGATGCGCCTGCGCACGTCTCACAGCGTTGGCGCGCTGCTCCTGCTGCTGGCAGCGCGCGGCGCCCCGAGTGCCGGGTCGCCGGCGAGCGGGACGCTGGCCCGCCCGAGGCTGGAGGCCTCGGCGAGCGGTCGCCCTCGCGAGCCGCAGGCCGAGTTCGGGAGGCGCCAGGCTACCAGCGGCGCGCAGTTGTTGCTCAAGCTCTTGGCGAGTGATGGGGCCGCATTCGACTATTTCGGACGATCGGTGGCCGTGAGCTCCGACGGGGCCCGCGTGGTGGTGGGGGCCCCCCTCGACGACGACCAGGGCAGCAACTCTGGCTCCGTGCAGGTGTTCGACGGTACCACCGGCGCGAGGCTGCTCAAGCTCTTGGCGAGTGATACGGACGAGGGTGACTATTTCGGGTTCTCGGTGGCCGTGACCTCCGACGGGGCCCGCGTGGTGGTGGGGGCCTCCAGGGCCTCCTGGAACGCTGGCTCCGTGCACGTGTTCGACGGTACCACCGGCGCGAGGCTGCTCAAGCTTGTGGCGAGTGATGGGGCCCCAATGGACTTTTTCGGACTCTCGGTGGCCGTGAGCTCCGACGGGGCCCGCGTGGTGGTGGGGGCATACTATGACGACGACCAGGGCAGCAAATCTGGCTCCGTGCACGTGTTCGACGGTACCACCGGCGCGAGGCTGCTCAAGCTTGTGGCGAGTGATGGGGCCGAGACAGACCTTTTCGGATTCTCGGTGGCCGTGACCTCCGACGGGGCCCGCGTGGTGGTGGGGGCCTACTATGACGACGACCAGGGCAGAAACTCTGGCTCCGTGCACGTGTTCGACGGTACCACCGGCGCGAGGCTGCTCAAGCTTGTGGCGAGTGATGGGGCCGAGGAAAAGCGTTTCGGACTCTCGGTGGCCGTGAGCTCCGACGGGGCCCGCGTGGTGGTGGGGGCCTACTATGACGACGACCAGGGCAGCAACTCTGGCTCCGTGCAGGTGTTCGACGGTACCACCGGCGCGAGGCTGCTCAAGCTTGTGGCGAGTGATGGGGCCGAGGAAGACCTTTTCGGACTCTCGGTGGCCGTGACCTCCGACGGGGCCCGCGTGGTGGTAAAGGGGGGCCTACTATGACTACGAAGAGTACAGAAGCTCTGGCTCCGTGTACGTGTTCGACGGTACCACCGGCGCGAGGCTGCTCAAGCTTGTGGCGAGTGATGGGGCCGCGGACGAGCAATTCGGACGATCGGTGGCCGTGAGCTCCGACGGGGCCCGCGTGGTGGTGGGGGCCAGCAAATCTGGCTCCGCGTACGTGGGCTCCGCGTACGTGTTCGACGGCACCATCGCCACCACCAGGACGGCCACGAGTTCCGCGACGTCAAGCACTACTACTGAGACGACCACCGCGACAACAACTGAGACGACCACCGCGACAACAACTGAGACGACCACCATCAAGACAACCACCGAGACGACCACCGCGACAACAACTGAGACGACCACCATCAAGACAACCACCGAGACGACCACCGCGACAACAACCTGAGACGACCACCATCAAGACAACCACCGAGACGACCACCGCGACGACCACCAAGACGGCCACGACGACCATTGATACGGGCACGAGTTCGGCCACATCAAACACCACAGCCACCACCGAGCCAGGGGAAGTAATTCAAATTGCAGTCTTGATCTTGGCTGGTGCCTGGATCTTGTTCTTGGGCTGCAGTGTCGCGCTGGGCTGCCTGGTGAGGCGCGGGCTTGTCAGGGGCCCAACACCCTAGCGCGGCATTCACAAAGCCAGGCACCCCTCTGATGAATCAATCGGGGGCGGCGGAAAACGCCTATGTGGCCGAGAGTTGGGCCAGAGCTCGGCCAAGCTATTGGGCCAGAGCGCGGCCTTCCGCATGAAGCCCTGGTCAGCTCCCCGCCAGGCGTTTTTCCGCAATCGGGGAAGCATGTGAGACCTTCTGAGAGTTATCGGTGAAACTTTCTACCAGTTTTGAAGCCCTGGTCAGCTTCCCGCCAGGCGTTTTTCCGCAATCGGGGACGCACTCGAGACCTTCAGAGATTGGACTGGACTGGAA